CAAACCTGGCAGGGCAGTCCATGAATGAAAACAACCTTTGATTAGACATCAAGGAAGTTATTCTAATCTTTCTTAAAAAAAAAAAAAAAGATTTCTCTCCAAAGATGCCTAATTGCAAATTAACACATAGTCCTTCCTTTGCAGATTTTGAAGCAGTAACAGGACTTTTGTATGTGGGAAACAATAAAAATTAAATAGCATTTTTAAAATGGCTTTTAGGTAATAGTACGATTGTAACACATCTGCTGATCGTCTCCATTAGTCTGGTTTAGAGCTTTCAGACAACCTGGTGGGCATTTACTGCTTAGTGAATCTTCCCAAGTTTCACTAAACAGGCAATGTTTAAAGACTGGTTTCTTCCTTTTATTTTATTTGAATTTCTCTGATTTTGAACTAGGACTGGCAAGTCTGGTATCCTAAAGCTGCAGAAATTAAAAAAGGGTGGGTGCAAGCATTAGAAAGTATTCAAATGAGACTTGATGATTCAGGTAATGGTAGAGGTTTTCCCTGTTCTGTGATTCCATGATCCTCTGCACATGATGCAGAAGACAAGCATTTGGGGGCAAAGTGGATCTTCTGCCTTTCTGATTCATGCCAAGTAAATTGCACCTCATAAATTTGTGGAACAGATTAGGAAAGGGACCTGTGTTTTAAATCTGGGAGGTGACATCTTGTGTAAGTTTTAACCACATTACAGGCTTTTTTGAACAGGAATAATTTCCTCTGCAGTAATCAGAAGAGTGTTTTCTTTCTGTACGTATCATACTTAGTTCTCTTGCCCCAGTTAAGGAATGCTTTGGTTAATCAACAGTTTTAGAAGTGAAGCATCACCAGAAGACAGGGAACAATAATATGATCATGCATAGTTTCTGTCTCAATTAAATTTCAACATTGTTTACAGTCATTGAGTCTTTTCCCTGGGGTCATCAGGCTGTACATCCATTCCATGGGCAGAGCACGCTGAGAGGTGATGAACCAGGTTTTAAATAGTTGGTTATTTATGTGCCTAAATGCCACTTAAAAATCTGGGCAAAGATGGCTCAGACACGTTTTCACAAATTAGTCACTGATAAAGGTAGAAAAGAGTAATGTACAAAACTTACAGCTCTAGACCTCTGTATTTGTAATTAGTGTGTTTTCTGCTTCAGTTCACTGTGTGCATTTTTCCCTGAGTTGGTGCATTTGATTTGCTGTGCAAAGGAAAGATGTCAAGGGAATTGTCACAGGATCTTTTCAATGCTTTTCTCATAGATTCAGAGAATACCTACTGACAACCTGAAATCTTACTCTGGAGGTGCTGGATATCCAGCTGCTTCCTTGGGCTCCATTTTACTCTTCCTGAAAGTCCCAAATAAATTTACACACCATTGACAATTTGTGTTTCACTTGATAAATTCCTGCTTACTCCATTAGCAATAAGGCAGTTCCATGCTGTGGAGTAGTTTGGGATCACCTTCCAGGAAAACTGTGACTTCCTATCTCTCCTGCCATTAAGTTGTTTACCTGATGAAATAATTTAGTGTAACTTGTCTGTATAAATTTTGGTTTTTGTGAGTTGCTCCCACTGACATCACTAGGATTCCTCAAAAAAAAGTAAATTTAAGCAAAATGTACAATATTTTGGGATTTGGACCTATCTGTGGAAACTGTGATATATCTGATCCAAAATAAATTGGTTTAAGGTAATTGTAGTTTCCATTGCTATAGTAAATAGCTTTTAGTGGCTTCAGGAAATACCAGTTTCTTCAGTGCATCTTCTCATACTGGTGATCTAAAAGCTGTTATTTTTGATAATGTTAAAGTTGAAGTATTCCCCATTTTGGAGTGTTGATATCACTGCACATTACAGGGTGATGATCCAGAGGATACACCCTGGAACTTCACATGCCAAGATGGAGAAAATCAATCTTTGTTAATAAAAAAAGGCAGGCTCAGTGGCGCAGAAAATCACTACTCTGGAGCCTTAACGAGGCTCCTTCAAAAATTCATGATTATAGAATGGAATCCTGGGCTACATTATAGTCCTGAAAGAAATTGGGATATGGAAGAAAAAAATATCCAATTTTCATTAAGTGGAGAAAATAAAGAATAAATCCCATATACTGACATAGTCATTGATCACAAGGAGTATAATTACATGCCCAACATGTAAGAACATTTTCTAAGTTTCCCAAGTCCCCAATACTTTTCCTGAATACTTTTCAAAGTATTCACAAATACTTAATTTTCATCTGTTTTGTGTAACAATTTATTCATAAGATGGGACTTCCTGGAAATCATTTGAATTATTTTCATTGCAAAGATGGACAAAGATGACAGCTGAGAGAAAGGAAAAATCTGACCTTAGAGTTCAACACTTACTTGTATTTATAAATTTTCCATAGGATTGACTGGGATTGATATAGGATATGAGCTGGAAAAGATAAGTGTTAATTGGGGCAGTCAGCCCTCTCCCACCTTTAGCTTGCTCTTCCTCAGTATATTAATAAAGAATTTGCAGCAGAGATAACATAATGGCAAATATGCACTTGCTGCTCTGCACTGTGTTTCAAATTTGATGTGCTCATAGAAGTCCTGTCTGTACCCAGTTGAGTTGGCACATGGACTTGCCAAGCTCAGAAAAGTACATTTTAATTGTAATGCCCCCATGTTACCATTCCTTATTCAAAGCTTCCCTCTGCTGTTTTCCTCCCTGGCTCTTTTTGTAATGAGTAGGAAAGACATATAGTGAATTAAACTAAAGGCAAGTGATGGGTAGGAACAAACTCTTGCAAAAGGTGAGCAGCTGCTTAGTATTCAGGAGCAGGCAGAGCACTTGAGCTCTGTGGGAGCTGTTTGTTTGGCAAGGAAGATGCCTTTCCCTCCATGCAGCACCTTTCTGAAGCTGCAGCCATAGCCAAGGAATTGAGCAGGTATCAGTTAAGAGAAAGGGGCACAATTCTGTGCCAAGCTAGTCAGAGAAGTGAGGTGGTCTTGCTTTAGAGCCAGAAAAATTGGGAGGGAATTTGTCATGATAACTGAGCACAATAAAGAGGCATATCTGTTTCTGTGCCCCGCTGTTTGTCATGAGAATCCACCCCTTTGTAGTTCCTGCTGAATCTCAGGATGAGGATTTTGCCTGTGATGCTCTTGGGGATGTCTGGCAGGCTGGGCTGCACCATGAGCACTGGTCTGGCTGTAAGTGGGCTCAGTTGACTGCAAACTCTCTGCTGCACAGCATTCCACCAGGGCCAAGGGAAAAAACAGGAGTGAAGGAGCTTTTAGCATCTTTTTTCTGTCCCTCTGTTTCAAGGGTCTCTCTGGGCTGCTGCTCATACCGAGGTTAACTTGCTTCCTAAGAGAGCCAGAGTAAATGTTGTGGTTCTGTTTGCAATCTGACCCTCTGCTGCTGTGTACAAGCAGGCCTTTGTACCCAAAACAGCTCCAAATTACTGTACATAAACCATAATCTTCCAGTGAGAGCACTGTAGTTTTCCATTTTGCTGCTAATTGCAATAGTCTTTGTTACCGTGGTTGGTGCTGGGCACCAACAGTGAGGGAAGGCTTTTATGCAGAAATCTTACAAAAATGCAGTGGCTGTCCCCATTTGACAGCAATTGAAACCAGTTGTCAATTAACTAAATAACAGCCAATTAGCTTGAAGGAAAAAGAGAAGAAAATTGCTTACTTCACATTCCTTGTTGAAGCAGATGCCAGTCAAAGTATGGGAGCTTTTTTCTTTCTCCTATAAAGACAAAATGGCAAAAGATGTGCAGAAAATGCACACTGGTGGGTTTTGGGTTTTTTTCCTAATACCATCTTTTTCTCACATAAGAATATTTGAGGAACTAGATAAGAACATCTTACAGCTTCTGAGGCATTTAATTTCCTGTGATATTTAAAAATGAAAATGACAATCATTATGCAAGCACAATTTTTCCTCCTTTCTTTCATGCCTCTGTAGCACAAGGGCAGTTCTCTGAGGCTGGCTGCCTTCACAAGGGAAGACCAGCAAACAGCTGGCTGCTTTGTGGTGTGATGACAGGCAGGACTGTGATGTTAACATTTGCATGACCAGACCAAACCCTTCCTCTTTCATATTTTTTGAACAACTCCATAAGTGAGATGATCTCAGAACTTAAAATGTTAAAAAAACCTGGAGCACCCCGAGGCCTTAGGAAGCAGCTGAGCGGTGCTGTCAAGACTTGTGGTTTGGTCTGAGATCCCTTTAAGACCCGTGTTTCATGTCTGTATCTTTTCTCTGAATCTGGGCAGTAGTGCAATGATACTGGTTCAGTCAGGATCACTGCACAGGGACAGCCAGCCACACCACCGGCAGGAAGAAAAGGGCTCTGTCCTGGTTTATTGCTCTACTGGCCCAACACCATGGCCCAAAAGGAGCAGTGCAATTCAACATGAAGACTAAGGCTCCATCCTGCAAGCTTCCAGCTGTGGCTCAGTCCTGGAGCAGAGGTTAATGTCTGCAGCAGGACTCTGACAGTTGGGCTTTCATGGATGATACACCGGGCAGAGAAAGAGCCTAGATTAGACCAAAAAGGCAGCTGCTATGAGCTAATTTAACATTGCTGGGTTAGTAAGAGACAATCATTTACTCATGGCATATTGGCTTTGAATTTTTATTGCACTTTCCTCATAAACAGTCAAGGCCAGCAGTTAACAAAGGCATTATGTGGCCTTGCTTCCTGCCCATGGGCTGGACCACAGCTGGTCCCACGGGGTTGACATCAGGGTTCCATCTGCCCAACATCCATTACTTGCGTCGATCAATGAATCTTCACTTAGACTTTATACTCATCGTTCAAAAAGATCTTAGAGCTGCTCACAGCATCATTTCACAGGTTTCAAATTGTGTTACTCATTTGTTAATACTTTCAGGACCCACGTTTCATAACTGGAGAGGGATGTCTTTTAACTATTGGGAAAACAATGGATGTATGATGCTTTCTCATTACTGATGCAAGATTCAGCACTGCACATATTGATCTGTTACTTCCTTACAGGAACATTTTACACCTGAATGCAAGTTCAAAGAATCAGTATTTGAAAACTACTACGTGACATATTCTTCAATGATCTACAGACAGCAGCAGTCTGGCCGGGGTTGGTATTTGGGTCTTAACAAAGAAGGAGAAATAATGAAAGGAAACCACGTGAAGAAAAATAAACCTGCAGCACACTTTCTTCCAAAACCATTAAAAGGTAATTGCCTGGGTTCGCTCCATCCATCTGAACTGACATTGTCTTGTGTCAGAGGTGTTTAATTGCTGTGTATATGTATTTGAAGGGTCTGACTACTTATATAACAGGAGTATAATGTTCTCTAACATGCTGTTAATCTAACCAGAACTGCTTTTCTCAGGTTTTTCTACATTACCTCAGCATTTCTCTAATTTAACCAAATACAGTTACTAGTAACCAAAAACATTACTGGTTTCTTTGTGCCCAGCTCAATACTGTCTCTGTTATAGGTAATGAAGGCTTAGCCTGGAATGGTCTAAACATCTGCTCACAGGCCATTAGTGACTTGCTATTTAGCTTATCAATTTGTGCTTTCTGTTACAGAATTTTTGTTCATCTAGTTTTGCCTGGGATAAAGCTCAGATGTGCTGTGCTTGTTTAACTGCAATTAATGGGGCATCAGCATATGACATTACCTAATGCATGTGGCTTCCATATACCACTGGGTATTAAAAACCAGGACATACAGTCATGCCAGTTAACTGAGGGATCCTGAATCAGACTTGTAGTCAGTCTTGGCTCCCTCTTTGGTCAATGCCAAGAGGGAGATCTCAGTCGATGTATGAAGGTGCCTCCTTTTCTCCAGAAGAACTAACTTCCATATGCTCTTTCCCTAAGAGGAATGAAGCCTTCTATTTCTGGGTTATGCACTTAGTAGCCTTTTAAGGCAGTGTTCTTTTGAAATCAGAGAGGATATTTCAAAGGTACAGCACCCTGGGTGGACGCTGGTCTAGTCTGGCAGTCTACATTTAGGACTAGGTGCTAGGCAACTGATGTCGAGGTTGATCCTCACTTCTAATGGGTGTGAAAACAAAGGAAACAAAAGACTCAAAATCCATTTTCACACTCACCTGCTTAGGCTACGTATACAGGTAACAGGTCAAATCACAGCTGCCAACAGTGCTAATTCATAATTAATAAGGAAATGTTGATTTATATCAGCTTAGGTCTATCTTGCAGAATTTTCTAATTGCAGTGGGTAGGCGGGTGGTTAACTGGGAGAGGGAGGGAGGGAGGAGCTGTGGTTTTTCCTTTCTCTAAAATGTCAGTCTGTTGAAGAGGACCCCAGAGACTCTCAGGGACTGTTTGAAATGGAGAGTTCTACTGGCCATGGTTTTTCATTATCTCATTACATTGCATATTTTCAAATGAAAAATCCCAACATTTCACAGCTGGACTTTGCACCCATAGACTGAGTAGCACATGACATGTGCTGACGTGCTGCCTCTCTTTTGCTTTGCAGTGGCCATGTACAAAGAACCTTCTCTCCACGATCTCACAGAGTTCTCAAGATCTGGAAGTGGGACCCCAACAAAGAGCAGAAGTGTTTCAGGAGTGCTAAATGGGGGTAAATCCATGAGCCAAAACGAGTCAACGTAGCCAGGTTCAGGCAAGCCAAGTGCTCTCTAAACAGAACCTTACCTCTGGATGCAGTTGAATTCTTACTAGCAGTCTTTCATCCAAATGTTCAATTGCCCAGGACAAGCCACCGAACTTGCATAGGTCACTCGTTTATCAGCCATTAGATCTACTGGTTGTCAAAGGATATACCCCAATTATGTAGAATATGCCTGTGCATATCACAAGGCAGTTGGATAGCCAGCAAACGTAACTGCGGAATAAATCTCGGAGAAGAAATGTCCAGCTCTTTCTCTCTCTCACTTTTTCTTTCTCTCTTTCTCTCTCTCTCCTATGCTTTGTGGAATCCGAAACAAAAACATTTCACAGCATTCACTGCTGATAAGAATTTGCTTTCCAACTCAGAAAAAGACCACTTTTGCTCTTCAAAGGAAATTTTAATGCTTGTATGTTTTATAGGGGCAAACAAAAAACAAATATGTAAACTCTGTTGTTTCCTTGGCTTACCGTTTTATATCTAAGGCTTGATAAAAAAAAATGTATCCTTTAATTTGGAATAGTGCTTTTTGATTTCTGAACTCCAATGGGTCTTTAAAGCTATGTCTTTAAAAAAAAAATAATTAAAAAATCAGGGTTGGAACTGAGAGTTGGTGTCTCAGGCTCAAGCAGTGTTCTTGTGGTTTTAAACACAATGAAATATAAATTTTTATAGATTTGTAGTTTCTGGTAAAGTTCTTGTGCTAACCCCAGTCTGTAGGAATTGAGTTGTTTTGTTATCCCAAGTGGAAGTTAACAGAAAGGGATAAAATTATCCTCCAGTGTAGATTTCTCTTAATTCCATTTTGTGTGTCTTGTTAAACTATTGTTGTGGCTTCTTTTCTAAAGACAGAAACTGTGGAATTAAGGTGACTTAATTTTTTTATAAGAAACGTCTTATTTGTAAAAGTCCTTTCACTGTAACGGGCACGTGAATATTGTGTAGGAGGAAGCGTTAGGACAGGTTACCCCTAAACAACATATACTTATACATGCTATTGGAAACAATTGTTTAAAAAATGTAGTTAGGTTTCCATTTAGGTCATCATGTCTGTTGCATGGGAGAAAGTTGGAATATTGGCATAGAGTTGCATGATGTGTAAGATTTTGTGCATTAATCATCGTTGGATTCTGTGCTCCAAAACTGAATTAGTTCTGTACAGGCAGCTTTCTGCCTGGTACAAAGGAGTTGTTTATTATTTGTTGTATACACAACCATGCACTGAATAAACTATTTATATTAAGATGTACTTTTTAAAAAAGCTTGTTTGATTAAATGCTGTACATCTATGATTAATTTAAAGGGAAAAGGGTTGGCAATTAAATTAAAAAGTTATAAAAGATATTGTAATTAATGTTCAAAATCTTTCTGTGTGGTGGGTCATTCCCCTGTATTGCCATACACTATACAAATTAGAACATGTTCTTTCTTTTGGATATTTTTAGAACTGGTCTTCTGTGCCCAGCTGAGATACTCAAAACACCGTGACGATTCAGTGCCACAAAGTCTTGGTAACGCCCCCTCTGCCGTGCGCTGCTGGAGCCCCAGTGAATTGCACTTCTCTGCTTTGAGCTTTCCCAGCTTCTCCGTGTCTGCCCTCCCTGTCAGACTTTCCATAGTGCAGCCACGTAGCGCTACCTCGCAGCAAACCTCCTCAGAGCCCCCAGCACGGAGATCCCAAAATGATCTGGGAAGTCCAGTCCTGCTTGTGCCTGGTGGCACCTGAATGATGCCCAGTGTTTGCTGTGCATCACTGCAGGTACATTTATCAGCCAGCTTTATCTGGTCTTGAGGAAAAAAAGCTCCCACAGCCTTCTGCCTTTGTGCACATGCTCTGGAGAGAAAACATCCCTCTCTCCTGCCTTTTCTCTCCAAAAACATCCATGAAAACTTTTCTCCTCTACAGCATCCAGGCAGCTCTGACAGGTGAGCTTCACTCACCAAGGTTTTTCAAGAAGTCCTTGCAGGGAAAAGTTTTCATCATGGGTGGTGGAAGAACCAGGTATGTTAGTCTGAAACTAAAATCAGATATTCCGTTGTCTGCTCTGTATTTCTCCCACTTGACCCAGCTGGAATTTAACCAGCTGGGACAGTGCTTGGGATTTTTCTAAGGTTAGGGCTGAGAAAGGAGGGCAGAAGATCATGTTTCAGATCAAACCCCCAGATTCATCACTTTGTGGCAAATAGTATGTAAAGAGCTCTGGCCTGCTAAGCTCCCATAGTGGAGCAGGGTGTTACTGTCCCCAGATAGCACCTGATGACCTTCAGAGGGCCCAGGGGACCCCAGCTTGCCCCTTTACATAGGTTGAATAAAGTGGGAGCACAACTAGTGCCAGAGAAAATCTAAAAAATTGAAGTTATGGTCATGATTGCCCCAGAGGTTTTGATAACTCAGTGGGTCTGGAGCACCTGTTCCCTTAAGTGTGGGATGCCCTTGGGAAACATTTCTCTTAACTCTCCCACCCCTAAAAATCAAACTTATTGGGGTACATGTTCCAAAAAAGGAATCTGAGTGCCTTAGGAACATAAAACCTGATTTAGAAACAGGCATATCTGTAGCAAAGCTAGTTAAGTGCTGAGTGTTTACTATCCTAAATATAACTGGACCTGCTCTGCTGCTTTACTTTATAGCTGCAGTCTTCCTGTTATTCTCCACCCCAAGTACTTCCAACCTTGAAGGTCATCTGAAGTGGAAGGAAAATGTTTGTCCCACAAATCATCCCTTCTGAGGTCTGTGGTCTGACCCATCTTTTGTACTGACATTGGCATCAGCTGTGAGCATTCACTGCCAAATCTCTAGTTCCAAAGCTTTCTAATATACCAAGCTAACAAATGCCACTCTTGGATAGAGATGAGAAGAGAGATGTGGTGATAGATGAGCCATAAACAGATGTTTCTGACAATTATATTAAATTTCTTTCAAACCTGTTCCAACAATAGTTTTTCCCTCAGATTATTGAGGACTGAAAACACAATAATCTTGATAGAGTCCTGATAGTAGACAAAAGCTCATGTACTCTATGAGCAAAGTGGGGTATTATACCCAGGGTTTTACATGTAGTCTCTGGAGCCAAAACTAGGATTTAATAAGGAAAATCAGAATTAAATGTGAATTTACAGACAGTGAGTGAAGGTGACCTTCTAGTCCAGCCAGTAAAGTGAAGACAAGAAAAGAATGCGGCTTCATCAGAGGACCAGACTAAGGAGTCAGACTCCAAAATATGTATTTATCTTTTACCACCCATAAATTAGAAAGTTACACAGATGTCTTCTGCATAATACTTTCCTTTAAGATACCTGCTAGATATTAGGAAGATGTCCATTTGGATGGTTGTCTAACAAATGAAAAATTATACCCACTGGTAAACCTGCTTTGCTCTGCCATGGGTACAACAGCAGAATCCAGTGAGATGCACACCTGGAATAAGGAAAAGCCCCAGGACTGGTATGAATCCAAGCCCTAAGCTGTCTGTGAGCCACTGACCATCTGCAGAAGATGGTCTCAGGCCCTCTGTTATCGCCAAGCCGGTGACTAATGCCTTTCACCTGCCATTTCACTTGGCCCTGCCTCTCCAGCAGTGCTGCCCACAATCCATGCAGCACACCATGGGCCTGGAGTTGGCTTAGAAGGTGAAAATCCATCACAGAAGCTTCCTGATGCACCTGGGCTTCACTTGGCAAAGCCCTGAGCCACCACAGGGGTTGTGCAGAGACCTTATGAGAGGCTGACAAATGCTACCTGCCAACCCAAAAGAAAACAGGTCACCCATGAAATTGGGAGGAAAACTGCTAGGAGCATAATTATTATGAGGCAAAAATGCTGCTTTTTTGTGATCCACCTGTCAGAGCTGCTTCCTTGGAGGTCTATGCAGGGGGCTCAGGCACTGCTGCTTAGCCTGGTCTTCGGATGAGAGAGGGTGGGAAGAGGTCTTCTCTCTTTCTTTTTTCCTTTTTTTTCCTTTTAATTTACCTCATGCTACCTCATAGCATGGTTGTACCTCCGTAGCCACTTGCTCAGCCGTGTTCATCGCTGGCACGATGGAAGACAATTCCCTACTTTGGGAAAATATCTCCCAAGTTAGCCCAGGGAAGAACAGTGCCCCTTCTGCAGCACCGTCTGGTGTCCCCACCACTGGTTCCCAGCCCACAGGCCAGGTCTTCCAGTGGGATAAAGACGGTCTAATGAGCTCAGGGATGCTGTGGTACGCCAGGCCTCTCCCCAGCTGAGCACCAGCGTGAGAGCCAGGTCTGGCAGAGCTCTGCTGTGTCTTGAGTATCTCTGCGTGGAGACCAGAGCCAGTTCTAATGGGTTTAAATGTCTCCCCGACATATCCTTGACCAGGACTCTTTTGCAGGACAGAATCTGTATGTAACAACCTCCTATCTTCTAATAAATGATTCTCTCTAAAACAGACTCCCTCTTGTCTGGGCTCTGATTTTTTATCACTGCAGGTGTTTAAGGGCTCTCCAACCCATCACCAGTGCACTACACTATCACTTAACATTTCCTGGGATACAGACCCTTCTGACATTGTATTTTTCCTCTGTCTTCCTGAACCAGAGAGGGGCAGCTTGAGTGGTCAAGCCAAGACCAACACAGATGGATTCTTCAGTTTTCTGTATGCTTGACATGGTCCATGAAGGTCACGGAAAGTGTGATGCGTTTTACCAGCTCAGGGAATGGCTGCTCTAAATGTTGGAGCTTGGTTTCCATGGTTTTGTCTGACTTTGTCTCTGCAAAAATTACATATGAGTACAGTAGAAAGCCTATTTAAAATAATTTGATTTCTTAGGAAAAAGACCCACCATGCAATTTATGCTGAACAACACCAGCTGTGGCCTTTTTCAGCTCCTTTGGGAGGGTGATGTCCATGAGAACATAAAAGTCCTCATTTACCAAGTAAATTTTTAAGAAACTCACTTCCCTGGCATGAGTGAGAAGAGCTGTGGGGCCCTGCCCTTTGCTGGTTCATGGTTTTTGGAGAGCCAGGTCCTGAAACAAGGTGGGTTTTCTGCTGCACAATGGCTTTTATTGCTGATTGGCTCCAGTAGCAGAGCTTACCCCGCTTTGAGGACATGCCACGTCAGTTTGGGGGGCACTCAGTCACCTTATGCAGCTCCTCTCGAGGGGAAGTTTAAATATTAAAGGAAAACCCAAATTTGAAACATGTTTTACATTAATCAAAGAAATTGATGTAATAAATTATTCCATCTCATCAGGAACTAGAAGACAGTTTATAGGGTTCCCTTCAAAGATCATTATTAATGATTTGAAATTTGAGATTCTTAAATACCATGTATGGAAAATTACTTTCAAGCACTTGTAGGTCTAATTTTTTCCCCAGATAATGTTTGGCATGTCTCACCTAAATTCAACAACTGGAGGGGCAGGATGAATGCCTTCATGTCCCATGGGTTTCTCAGCACCGCACATTGTCTGTCACACTCATTTTCTGAACTTGTCCCCTTGCCAAGGACATGGTCAGAGGACCACCCGCCACCAAGGGCCATCACATCTGTATTTGGAGGAACAGTTGTCCCTGTCCTGGCATCTGAACACATCGAGCTGATAGGTGTGATGAGATGCTGATCAGGGCTGATCTGAGCTGCTGATGGCATTCTTTGGGGAACACACAGCAGACTGGCAGCTCTTTTAAACTCTTATCTTTGCTCCTGCATGGAGATAGCTCAGCTCAAAGCAGCCTCCCAGGGGAGCCTGGGGTGAATTTGGGGGCTTTGCAGAGAAAAGAACTGCTCAGGCACTGACAGTGAAATGCTGCTTGTTTTGGCTGAATGGCTGTGGCGGCAGCAGCGCTGGGAGGACCATGGCTGGCACCTGTTAAAAAGTAATTAATTAGTGAACAGACTGCAAAGCTCTGAAAAGTAATTTGTCATGATTCTTCACCCACACCTTCAAGAAATCTACAGCACAAACAAAAGCCCCTGTCGCACTGGGGTGAGCAGATCATTCTTTCACCCTTCCTTGGCATATTGATGTAATTCAGTTGTCGGACCTGGTTATACAAAGCAGGGCCCAGCACTTGGAGCAGGAGTAGAGACTCCACTGTCCAAACCTTTGCAGCAGGTAAGTTTCATAGAGACAAGAACTCAGAGCTCTTTTAGTGTTTTCAAACAGTATTATATCTAACTTGAGGGAAAACCTATTGAGGTGTGAGCCGAAGTCAGTGAAAACTGTTTTTCAGTGAAAACTCTTTTTTTGTGAGCTCAGCCCTACAAACAGAACCTCAGGGAGGACATCTGGGGAAGAAAGAAGTTTTCAGACACTCTCTCAAAAGGAACAGGGAAAAGAAAGGGTTTAAAAGAGTTTACATTAATTAGTGTTGTACTCAGAAACCCCGCAAAGGACACTTGGAGCTGTATGCACGTGTGCACCAGGATTATGGGGATAAAATGTCAGAAGGAGAATTACTCCTGTTCAGGGGGGTTTCTGGTGACAGTGGCTTCACCCCATGTTCCTCCAGATCACTCATGCTCTACCGAAGATGTTTTAGAGCAATTAAGTAAAAGTTTCCTTATGATGAAAAGGACAAGGCCAATAAAGGGAGGTGAATGAGAGGATGGAGCCTAAGGGTCAGAGAGTGGGACACATTCTGCATGAAACACAACAAAACTACTGCCATTCACTGAGTTTAGCAGGACTGAGTTCATACCCTGACCCACAACAATACAGCAAAACAGCAAGACACGGTTCAAATTCCTCTATTGCAGATGTCTCAAAGCCTGATCCTAATCTCAGTTGCAGAATACACCAAGGACTCTGGTAAGTTTGGAGTCCCATGCTGGTTTGAAGTTCCTTTATCTACACCAGCAATTCATTCTTATGCTGAAGGACCTCAGACATTACCTCATGCATAAGTAACAGTGTTAATCTATGAAATATTTTTAGATAACAAAATTAACTGGTTCAAAACTTAATTAATCCTATTTCCTTCCCAAGTGATTTCCTTCAAATGGTACTTGAAATAGTTTTACTTTCCCCCATTGTCTTTCTAATGTACTGATGAACTTTTCCTTCTGAGCTTCTCCTTCTCTTAATTGTCTGCTCATCCAACCATCTCTTCTGATAATTGACTTAATAATATAGAGCAATCTTTAAAAATTAAACTTCTTTTCTTGTTAAACAAACACAGAACTTCTGTTGTTTTTTAAAGGGGTGTTTTTTCTTTTACTTTCTTAATTTAAAAAGACAATTACTGCCTTTGGAAGTAGTGGCAACATTTGGTAATTCACCTGCTTCAGCGTTGGTGAAAATATTACTTTGCATTAACCACAAAGGTTTTGCGTTAGATAATATAATGAGATTTTCTAGGGAGTTTCAATCAGTGGGTCTTATAATCACTTACTCAGGGTAAACTGAGAAAAACAAAGAGCAAAGGAAATCATAAAGCAGTCAGGAATATGGATGTTCCTCTTACCAGCTAGCGTCCTCTTCTGCTTGGATGACCCCCAATGCTCAGCCAATGGACACATCACAAATCTTGTTTTCTTGGTCATTACTGCTTGGTCCTGTTGTATCCTTTTATGCAAACTTAATCAACTTTCCAGATGCACGATATGGAGGCTGGGCATGTGTCAGCCTCCCATGGCAGCTCTGTGGCATCCCTGCTATCAGGCAAAGCCAGCGTCTCACTGGTGTTTCCCCACAGGAGGTCACTTGCTGAGGGTCCTTCTCAATGTGGCCCCTCACAATGTGCACTTTGCAGAGTAGGGGTCTGTGCCTTCCCACTTACACAACTTGCTCCAGGAGAGCTTTGGCAGCTGCTCACCCACAGCAGAGCACATCCCTCAGTGACAGGTTACTGAGCCAGCTCTAAATCATTGTCATTTTCAACAGAAACAAACGCAGAATTCTTCCACCAGACAGACAGCAGACCCCTGAGGGTTTAAATTCTACTGAGGAGGAAAATGTCTTCACACAAGCACACTGAGATGTATTACATACACACACACACAAATATATAGGAAAAATATATACACACATACAGACACATATAAATACATACATAAATGCATACATACAGATGGATTGATCTAGATATATATCAGTTTATGTTTGTCATATTAGAGTCCCCTGATAAACAGCCTGAACTGGTGAGAATAAGGTCAGCAACAGCAAGCTCAAGAAACACCTTGTAGTGTGAAGTGAGGTTGGAGCACACAGCAATCCACCTTGTCAAGGCAGGAAACTGGAAAATGTTTGAGATGAATACCCTACTAGTCTTCTTTGTGCAAGCACTTTCACAAGCCAACCTTCCCCTTGGAACTGGCTGACCCATCTTGTGAGCAGAAGGGAATGACCCTTTTACTTCTTGATCATAGTTTGCAGTGGCAAAGATTTTGATCAGTCAGGCTAAAGTGCAACAGTGAAAAATTGCTCAGCAGTGGCATAAAAAAAGAAAGTAGACTCTAGTCCCTCAGCCACAGCAATAGGGAGAGGAGGCAGCTGCTAAAACTTCACAAAAAGCTGCACAAAGATCTCAAGTATTTGAAGACTGCCATGGAAATGCGGAAGGGTTGAAGCAGCTGACAAAGATTACAGAGCTGGAACTTGATGCAGCTTGCCAGGCAAGATGAAACAAGAGGTGGGGAAAAGGTTAATCACCAGAAGGGTTAAAGGAAATTAAATATATATGTGCAAGAAAGTGCTGGAAAGAGAGTAGGCCTAGGAATAACCACTGAGTGGGATGGTATTAATGATGACTCAAAAGTGATGAAGAACTTTTTGAAAGTTGGGCTGCCTGCAGATCCAGGCATTTGTCTTGTACCAAAAGTCTTCATTAAATGCCAATAAAACTTCCAGCCACTGGGTTCTGAACCACTAAAGCTGATCTCTGCTGTGATTGCCCTGAGCACAGGAAAAGTCACCTCCTTGCCCTCCTGCAAAATGGGTCTGAGAGGAAAAATCACTGTAGTTACAGAAAGGTCAACCAAAACGAATGAGCTCATCAAGCCCAAGTATATTACATCCTGGAACAAACAGGGGAGCAGCTGAGCAGCAGTGGCTTTAACCAGTTTTATTTTTTTGTCCAAACCATGGGATAAATCCATGTAATTTCTTTATAACAAGAAGGAAACCATGGACTTGTAAGCTGATTTGTAATCAGATGGTTCTGTTAGTTCATATTTGCATTGGATAACAGCGCCCTGCCAAACACCTCATCTGTGTCCAAGTGGACTTCAGGCTATCACTGTGAATTTATCTGTAGAATCAACTAAGACTTGAGCAGAAAATATGTACATTCTGGTGTCCCATAACTTCTCTTAGAACAAAAACATCCTAATCCAAATTATTCAAGTATTATCTGCCCTTCTTAAAAGTGAATGCTGTGCAATAAAGTGATGCATGCCTAAAAGTGCATGAAAAAGAGAGCATGGGTAAAAAGGCAAAGGCAA